TTGTTCTGCTTTTGCCTGATCGAAGTAAATCTATCTGTAAACAATCCGGTCGGTCTTTCCAACACTTCTCTCGTTACTGTGTGGTTACAAAAAATATAGCGGGGTTTGGCGGGGCTTTAAGAATTAAGGTGACTAATAAGTTAAGAAGTTGCTGCAGTATTATTACGATTTTAGAGAATAATTTATTGTTGAAAACAAACAACTGGCAAATGGAAATAATGGAGTCTCCGGCGATGCCATGCAAAGTTTTGAAGATGGCTAAAATCGAGACAAATAAATATGGTTAATATAACTGTGTGGAATTTGGCAAAGAGGATTTAAGCGATGTTTTGAGGGGGAATTTTAAGCAAGAAGCTTAAGCATTCTCCACATATTAAAAGGGTATTTGATGGGAATTAGGTAGTTTTTCATAAATAGCAATTAGTTAATTTTATCTCCCCGGGTATTTCAACGATGCATTAATTTGATAAGTCTCTTATCATAAATATGATAAATTACAGGTGTGTCAAACGAATTTACCACTAATGAATGTGCCTTCTCGCCGATCGTTTTTCGCATTGCTGTTCAATCGTTCACATAATAAGGAACCTGAACAACGAAATTTTTTTAAGCAGGTCGAATTCTAATTCCAATCAAACCCAAAAACTTTTTTAATTTTTAATAAAAAAAAGTAAATAGGTTCCAAAAATTAAAATTATTTCTAGAAAATTATTTCTGGTAATAATTAGTCACATATCGACTTGCGTCACGGAATTGGCATCTTTCCCTTGATCATTTCCATTAGAAATGAAATTAATGCGGTGCTGGGGATTGTGGTGGTACATCGTTGTATTTCTACCCTTTAATTCCCACTTTAGCGAAGGGGTCTCATCGTAGTTGTAAAAGGAGAATTTAATAGTATTTAAGAGAATTTAGAAAGGTTAAGGGCCAGCAATGGATTTATTTTTTTTTAAGAATGCTCACAATTAATTTCTTACGCGGCTCCGCTAACTTGTTGGACCAGATATATTATCATTTGCTTATAAAAGTATAGGTGAGTCTTCAATATCATGGACTGGTTGGACACTACTGAAAATAGAAGGCGATGAAAGAATTCGTAGATTCAGTGCAAACATTCTCGAAAATTTTATTCAATTTTTTAACAATTATCTTAAATGATTGCGTCTGTCATCGCCAAAAATATCTTCACTATTAATGATTTTTTTTTACAAAATTTACAAAAATGTTTTTATAATGTAGGATTTTTTTTCGAAATATATTGCATCAATTTAAGAGAATGCAATGGTGGTTGTGGGCTAAACGCCGTTATTCAGTAGCTGTGGACCACCATAATTATTAATTTAATTTAAATAATTTTGATTATTTCATTTTTAGTTCTAGTGAATTTGCAGTGAAGGTTCAATTAATCAAGCAGTATGGGTGGAAATGAATATGGATAGTTCGCTCAAAACTCGTCTAAAATTGCTCGAACAATTAGCTCTCGCATGATTTATGAATGCCATTTTAATGGTTTTTTCGTTTGTTTTAATTTTTTATTTATTATTCCATTTTTTATTATGAAATATTTCATTTCATAAATTTATAAAAATTTCAGGTAATGGAATATAGACAATTACAAGTTAACACATTTGAAGCCAAACAAAAGATTTATTATTAGTTGATGAAGGAAGAAATGCTGAAATAAGATTGTTGATTGCAGTTGCTGATCGTCAAAGTGAACAGATTGGTTTACCTCTTCGTGATTTATTTTTTTGTGTAAGTGCTTTCTCTATTTATTTTTTCTTTGATTTTTGCGAATTAACCAGAACTGATAAAATTCCTATTCTGGACACATACATTTTTGGCAAATTCAATTATTTACGATAGTGATACACGAAAAATTTATCGATTTTAAGCATTTATATATCAATAAAAAAATTTGGTTCGCAATTCATCATTTCTAATTTGCCTAGCTTTGCCATTATTAGTAAGATTAGAAATTTTTGCAGAGGAAAGAAACATTAGATAGGTAGATCATCAGCAGTACATGGATTCTTTAATGACAGTTTTATTCTTATTAAAAGCCGAACTCTTACCTCTGAATATGATAATTTATCTAGCCGACTATCGTACACTTTTCACAAAAAAGTAAACTTGCTAAAGAAAATTTGCGTACTCAAAATAAATTTCGAGATATAGATTTTTTTAAGAATTTTCGGCAGATGGGATTATCCGATTTATCGCTGGAATGGCTAGTTGCTTTAACAACGATTATATCTGGTTTCGAATATGATGTCGTTGATCTTATTTTGGATTGGTTATCCGAGGTTTTGGATTTCAGAGAATTACCAACTTGCAATACGAATTTCACAATTAGCTCAGAAGTTAATCAAGTCAATCTTTTCTTCATAGTTCTTTATTATAAATAATAATTCTTTATCCTTATTCATTTCTAATCCATTGCAAAATCGCGCTTGTAGAGAATAGAAAAACTCATCGATTTTTAAGCAGAATAATACTAATGGTTCTAAAAATTATAGGATGAAAATTATAGGTTTTCTGCGAGAAAAAGAAGTGCTTGACGAAGAAGTGCAGAAAATATTTTTTCGAATTTGTTGTAAAATAGATCATCTAACTTATGAATATCTCTTATTACTTGATATCATTCTCAAATATGGGTGAGTTTGCTTTTAGAAAAGTTTTTCACAGAAAATTTTTGATCTAAACTAAAATACAAAATAAATATAAAGTTTTATTGATGTCCAAGTATTTCACAAAAAAATTTTATGTTATTTTTAGAATATAATATTTTCAAAGTAAACTGACGGATTTTAACTTTTATAATTTCTGATTACCATCCGATCTCACACAGACGTCATTATATATCGGGATAGCTCTGTCTATGAGGGGAATTGACTAACTCTTTTGAATTGCTGTCTGTTAAGGCTGCGTCCTTTCCCCTGCGATACTCCACTATACGATACACTGGATAATGGACATCGCTTGTCGGCACTTAAGAGGTATACATATCACTCGGAAGCATCATCTTCAACATGCTGGTGATGTAGTTCTTTTCGCAATTATGACGAAATGTAAATATTAAAAAATATATGGACAACTGGAGCGAAAGTCGGACCCATGGTCAATGTAAATAAAATGAAAATCTTTTCATCTTGTAAAATTAATAAAATATCTACTTTTGTCAGCTCATTATGGGTAAAAAAAATGCCAGAGATTAAATATCTTAGACCCACTCTAATACCGAAGACCCAAAATTATGGGTAACAAATTATGGATAGCTAGAAATGCGCTAGAAATGTAAGATCTTCATAGAGTCTTCAAAAAATCACCATTAAAACCGGGCATCTATAGTTGCAATTCGCTCGGTTTTGTTGTTTATTTATGAGATATGGTCGATGAAAGTGGAGGAAATTATTTAGACCACTCACGTCTAATATACATTTTATGAGTTCACCAAGCAGATAATATCATCTATCCACTTTTGTTCAAATACATGCATTAAGAGTACCATCACAGAGTATCGCCTTCGCTGGTTAGGGCACGTTTTTCGTCGCAATATACATTCGTAAGATCTCTGATATCAAAAAGTGGACTCAGGAAATATTTAGAACATATAGAAGGATCAGGGATTTATGGATTTAGACGATGGAAAAAGGAATGGCTTCTATTACCGTCCACGATGGCGTCGAATAGCTTAGAACTTCTTACTCTTGTACCCAGCGGAACCAGCTTAACCAGTAATGGTCAGAGCTATAAGAAGAAAAATATGTTTTTATTTTATGGTTGTTTTATGGTGTTTTAAGATTTGATAATCTGGAAAAACGAAAAATATTTCAGGCATGTTCCAGATAATGAGTTGCACTCATCAGGACTCTATGGTGAAATTTCAGGTAAAATAAAAAGAAATAATTTCAATGTGAAATCTAGAAAAGTGAGCAATACTTTAGCGAATCCTTGTATATCCTATGCAAAATAGCCTTAATCGTTCAGCTTTTAATCGATTAGGCCTAATTGCTTGGGGTTTTTCCAGATGAAAGTGAAAGATTTGCTTCTTCCAGTTGTGGATATAAACATGGACATTGAGACTTCTCTTACAAATGATTACTTCTGCGAAGAGTTATCCAAAGCGAAAGTCATTGGTGTTGTTACTACTGTTGCTCTTTCACTGTAGGGAAATCAGGTTTATAGGTTTCTTTCTTTTATTTTTTTGGTTTTTCTCCTAAATAAATAAATCGTTGTGAACTTCGGATTAGGATTATTCGAGATTATTTGAATATTTGAAATTTTTATTTTATTCGACTCATTTGGAACGGTATTTTCGCTTGTTTATCTTGGTTATTTCTTTGTCTAATTGCCAATGAAACAACCATAATGTAAAGAAAACTGATGAGTATGGCATAAAGTAGATTGGTTTTGCCGTTATTTTCAGCGTATTTACACATTACGTATTCATCCAAGTGGAGTTCTTCCGCGTTAGAATCGGGGATGGAATCCATTTATTATGGAGTATTTATTAGTATTTCTGGTTCATCGCTCTGAAGCAGTTGTACACCAGGTGCCTATTTAATTCATCTACACTTGTATTCGCGAAATGTTTCTTAGTGGAGCTTTTTCCTATTAACCAATGGAATCTAACCAGAAATTTTGAATATTTTAAAAAAGGAAAGAAACACTCCAGCAATTCTATTTCATTGGGAAACAAAATGAATAATTCTTAGTGCCATACTGGACTCTGTCGAATCCTTTTTTTTGGCTCTTTTAGCGTAGCCGAATCAGGTCATTTACATTAGATGTTCAGAAAGGTTATTATTAAATATGATTAGAATATTCGATTTCATAGAAATTTTTCTAAATTCTAAACCACTCATAATGCTGAAAACTTTAGTTCCATAGAAGCTGAGATTCGTATCGAATCTATCATATCGGTAGCCATTTTCTATGGGCAAATATTGTTTGCATTCATTGCCTATATTTATGGGTTAGAAGTGTTAGAAATGTAAGTGAATTATTTAAAAAATGCAGCGCTAAAAGTTTGTGTCGTTTGCGTTTCGTTTATACAATGAATAAATTAGAAAATGCTCGGCGCTGGCAGGCTGGTTTCACAAGCGGCATTACTGGATAGTAAAACAATTTACAAAGAGTTATAGGGTAGTTCCCAGCAGCACGCACATTTTTTGATTTTAAAATAATTGTAAATAAAATTATTATAAATAACTAAATTAACACATCGCCACCCACCATACTATATTTTAGCACATATTTATATGTATTTATCAAATCTGTTGAGATTGTGTTAATAGTTATTAACATTAAATATTAAAACAATTTAATTTCTTCTATTTGCAAAATTTGAATGTTTTAATTTTTGCGATGAAATAAGTTATCGAATTGCATATTTGGTTTATTTATTCTTTGGTTTATTTTGCGAACATTTATTCTTTGGTTTATTTATTCTTTGATTTATTTTGCGAACATTTTAATGAAATAATTATTGGTATTTCAAACTTTTTTTTTTGAATTCTTCGGTTATTATAAAATATAATAATATTAAATAGGCGTTTCATCTGTATTTCTATCGCCGAAAAACTCCCGGGCACATTTTTTTTCAACCCAATAAGCCAGCTGAGCCAACCTGATCAGCCATATGAATGTATTATCATTATACGATTCAACAACCCGAAGAAAAAAAATATTCTAAAGCAAAACCGAATAAAGTGACTGATTACAACTGATAAAATTCGTTCCGAATTTCTTTAGCTTTTTTATTTCTCGCAAAAACGATAAAATAAATTTCGCTTTAATGAGAAAAGAGAAATACAATTTAAAATAACGAGGCAATGGATCGATAAAAA